ATTGATGATTCCATTTTCACGTTATCAGTTTTTCTATCTTTTGCGAGTTGTAAAGAAAATATATTGACTTTTTGCTCTGGTTTTATTACTCTTGGAATAAAATTTTTTATCTGTAAAATTAAACGTATGTATCCAAATTTCTAATTTCTTCTTAAAATTCTGTATCGTCGTTAATAAAAAATTGCTTACTGTAAAAAGTGTCTTTACGTGCGATGACATTGTGACATTTGTAATAGCTAATGGTAATTTAAACTTATTAACAACGCTAAAATTTCGCGTTTGATTCGACTGGAGAGAACAATAATGTGTAATTGATGCGTTTACTTCTAGTCCACCTTGTAGAACTTGTGCTATCCATGGAATTGTTAGTTTTTGACTAGAACCACCAGGACCTATGGCTTTTATTGCTAATTTTCCTTTAAAATGTTGCAATTCTAAACCAGTCTTCCCTGTGATAAAATATTATATACCATTGCATGATGTAAAAATGTATTACATGCGATGCAAAATTACATACAGTCGTAAATTAATGCTCCTATGGCAATTGGAATATCGGTATCCCCAGGAATAACCGCCTGTTCGAAATGAAGTTTTAATGCTTTGGAAACTGGCGTGCTAATTATGTTCTATAACGCACGAAAAATTCTATTGTTTATAATTAATCAAATATTCCATAAATTATACTTAAAAATTATTCACCATAATTTTTATTGGTTTTTTTGCCGAATTTTTCAAAGCAATGGGGTATTGAATGGGAGGTTGCAATGAACCACCCATACCTAAATTAATTGCTCCGGAACTTCCACCCCAATGAAGACCAGCCCCATTTTTTACTTCAACTTCGACTGTCACGACCAACACTTCCGATGTATTGTTTACTTTAAGTCTGTATAATTGAGATATTAATAATTAAATCTAGAATAATCAAGGACAAGATTTATGCAGTGACACAAACCTAATGTATGCTGTATGATTTTTTTCTGTGTAAGCATTAAAATGTAATCTTATGATAGGCTTTGTTTGATATGGTGGAATTTCCCATAGTTCGCGCGAACCTTCTGCTTCTCCTGATGGTAGTTCTAGTTGAAATTCTCCACCACTGCTATATACTTCTAATACCTTTTTAATAAAATATAAAACATTGATAATTATTTGATAAAATAAAAGACAAATAACTATAAATAAACGATACATAAACGATAAATCCATACTTGTAAAGCTTCTGCGTGTGGATTGTGCATGTATATAAGTGGAGTAAATGTTGCATTTAAAGGTAATTTAACACCTACTACAGGTCTGAGTCGATATGGACTGCTGACGCTTATTCCCTTTACCTGTGAAGATAGAATTATATTTTTAATAAAGAAAATTATTTATAGAATTTATAAATATAAATACGATTTAAATTGCAGTTACTTGATATTTTACAGCTCCATCTGCTGTATGTATAAGAAGATGTGTATCGATATCACCTTCTTCTCTGCCAAGAAAGATAACGTCAAATGTTGTATTCCCCAATGGTGGAATTACCTATACAGATCAAACTGTGATAATGAAACTCATTGTATGTACTCGCACTGTTCTATACTATTTACAAATTAATTAATTTTTCATTCTCTTTGGATATTTTCTTTTATCTCTTAAAAAGAAGTTTATTTTTTTCGATATTACTCGAGTCGAAATAAATTAAATATTAAAATATTTAAAATATTTTTTATTCGTCAATTACAAAGACATAGAGCCTTACATCGTAACAACTTACTTTATTTCGAAAGAATGATGAATGGAAATGACGCGTATTTCCAGAAATTGATAAAAGGTGGATTGTTTTGTTATGATCTCTGTTAAACAAGATCACAGTTTCTTGGTGGGGTATACCAAGTTGTCTAAAGACAAAAATGTCCTCATTGTATGTATATTCGCTTATATTTACACTATGTGATGTAATACAGATTTATATACCTCTCTTTGAAGTCCAAAACATGTGGTTTGAAATAAACATAAGATAATGAATCTTGCGTTTTATCTTCATCTGATGTTGTATCCCTTAAAAAACAACAAAAACATATTAAAAAATTTTAATACATTCAATAGCAATTTTTTAATATACTTGTAATAGTGGAACTTGAAAATAGGAAAGGTACGAGAAAAATTAGTTTGAAGTAATCACAGTTAGTAAAGAAGCGTTTAGAATTTGAAAGCTATCGTTTCAATATATCATTATAATAAGGAGATTAAAATAGTCTGTTAAATGATTATTGCATACGACAATTTTAAATTCTGTTTTGTCATTTATTATATTAAAGCGACTAATTATTTTAAAACATATTCTAGTTTTTGAATTTTCTTGAATTTTGCCCTGCATGAAACAAAAAAAAAGGTACGCAGAAAACTACAATATTATATGTAAATATTTTAAATGTACAGGGAAATTTATAATGAAAACCTTTCCTACTTCCACTCACCATTATTTTAATGACTATTATGCTTACCCAGCCCCTTGTACTGTATTAGTAAAATCCTGCAAAATAAAAATTTAATATTGTATGGCATCGTATAACCTTTGTTCTAAAAATAATTATATATTATTAAAATATAAAAAGATTTTATTGAAATAGCCACAGAAAAATAGTCATTATATTAAATTCTTAATATTTTCCAATCTTTTTTACGTCTATCTACTTATATCAAAGAATATGATACATGTTACGTTAAATGTTTTTATTATAT